TTTTTTTTTTTTTTTTTTTTTTTTTTTTTTTTAATAGCTTAAATTTAAAAAAAATATATTGAATTTTTGTTATGAAGGAAGAACTATTTGTCTAAATAGAGTAGACTTATGCCAAGTATTTTTTTTAATTTCAACATAATTTATATTCTATTTTAAAATTAATTTTCTTCACCGTGTCATTGATTAAGTACAAGAAGTAGGAAATTTTGGCAAAGTTTTTTTGGACCCTAATGAAGACTGATAGATGGTGATCGTATTTGAATTTGATTGACTTAGACATTTTTCAATCAATAGAACGATACTAATGGTATCTAATAGAAACTTACTATCAGGGTTCAAATAATTTCTAAAAGTTCTTAATGCGTATCTATCTATTTGTATCTAATCAATGACCCGGTTATGAGGATTAGTTTTAGCTATGTTTTTCTGCAAAAATTAAAATTTTTTTTTTTTTTTTTTTTTTTATGGGCACCTAATACTGTTTCCATGTTATTGTCTCAATAAACTTTATTTAACATATGTACAATGTAACACTTTTTTTAAAATTTGAAATTAAAAACAATATATTCTTTGAATTATAAATTATATATTCTGATATTTTCCCTAGTACTCTCCCATTATGTTATCAAGAATATATAAATAACTAAAAATAATATTTCTAAAATAATTTTAGAAATTTTTTTAATGTTTATTTTTTGCAATACCTATTTTGTATTTCAAGGAAAATTGTTATTATTATGCTTCTAAATACTAAAAAATGTTAATTGTACCTTATAATATCAATATAGGGTATCCAATAATGTACTGCAGTTTAAAAACTCCAAGGCTGAGTATTCATTCAAAAAATGGTGAAATATTAATTATTAAATTATTCTTATAAATTTAAATATTATATTTTAAAGTTATTAATTGAAATATTATAATTGTATTACTATTTCCATGTTGATAAAAAATTTTTTAAATATAAATTTTTATAAAATATTAACAAATGCTTTTATTTTTTTCAGAAAAATTTCAGCATGACCACTTACTTTGAATATCCATCTGCTGAACTCCAAAGTGAGTTAAGCAAAATTGCAAATGCCATGGTTGATAATGGTAAAGGACTTCTTGCTGCTGATGAATCTGTCTCAACTATGGGAAAACGTCTTCAAGATATTGGAGTTGAAAATATTGAAGATAATCGCCGAGCTTACAGACAATTATTATTCACTGCTGATGAACCTTTAAATGACCGTATATCTGGTGTGATTTTGTTCCATGAAACATTGTATCAGAAGACTGATGATGGTGTTCCATTTGTTGAGATCCTCAAGAAACGTTGTATTATTCCTGGCATTAAAGTTGATTCAGGAGTTGTAAATTTATTTGGTTCTGAAGGAGAAACTACTACACAAGGTATTATAGCTAAATATTTTTTTAGTATGATCATTATTTTAATAATAAATAAAAATTTCTTTGGAAATAAAATTTAAAAATTGGTAAATTTATTATTGAATACTTTTTAAAGGTTTGGATGATTTGGCTAAACGTTGTGCTCAATACAAAAAGGATGGTTGCCATTTTGCTAAATGGCGTTGTGTACTGAAAATTGGAAAAAACACTCCATCTTACCAGGCTATTTTGGAAAATGCTAATGTTTTAGCTAGATATGCATCAATCTGTCAAGCTAATCGTATAGTTCCCATTGTTGAACCAGAGGTATTTTACTTTTCTTAAAATCAGATGTGGATCACTTTTAAAAACAAATTTTAACTAAACTTAATTAGGAGATAAGTTTTTTTTAAAAACTTAATATAGTATACAAAAAATACATATATAACATTAAAGATACCAATTATACTATAAAATTACAACAATTTTTGATGGGGCTCGTACTGATCAGAACTCCTCTTACCTGGACCCGCCACTGCTATAGTATATTGTTGTTTTTTAATTGTTACAATAAAATACTTTTCTTTAAATTTTAAGAAAAAAACAGTAAATTTAAAAATAAAAAATAATGTTTTGTTTTATCATCAATATAAAATACATTATTTCATTAAAATAAATTTATTGTACACAATATTTTATATAATTTAAAGCTAAATAAAAATATCTTAATTATAATAATTTGTATTTGTAATTTTCTGTTGATTGTAGGGTTCAGATAAATTTATTTCCAATCTTGACTTAACTATATAATTATAAAAAATAAATAAAATTCGTCATTTTAATTACAGGTATTGTGTGATGGTGATCATGATTTAGATCGTTGTCAAAAAGTCACTGAAACGGTATTAGCTGCTGTGTACAAAGCTTTGAACGATCATCATGTTTATTTAGAAGGTACAATTTTAAAACCTAACATGGTGACTCCTGGACAGTCTTGTCCAAAAAAAGCAACTCCACAAGAAATTGCTAAAGCCACAGTAACTGCTCTTCAACGTACTGTACCACCAGCAGTACCGGGTAATACTTTTTACTATTTTCTGATTTCAATACGTAATGAAATCAAATAGTTTAAGGAAAAGTACTGTAAGAGATCTTCTAAAAGTTTCCTATACAGATGGTCTTATCCTACAACTATCCTGTCTTGAAATGTTTTATTTCCTAATTAATTATTACACATGATGGTACTCTTCTTACTTAGATTAAAATATTAGAGAAAATTTAATTTTGAACTAAACAAAAACCTAATTTTTACAGGAATTATGTTTTTATCTGGAGGACAAACTGAAGAAGAAGCTTCTGTTAACTTAGATGCCATTAACAAGTACAATGGTAAGAAACCATGGGCCTTAAGTTTCAGTTATGGCCGTGCATTGCAAGCATCTGTTTTGAAAGCATGGCAAGGAAAGAAAGAAAATGTGAAAGCTGCACAAGATGAACTTCTTAAAAGAGCATTGGTATAAAATAACTTTGAAAAATTATATTTAGCTCAGAAAAAATTATTATGTTTTCTTTTATTAAACTTTATTATTATTGTTTCTTAAGGCTAACAAATTGGCGGCATTAGGAAAATATGAAGCTGGGTCTGTTCAAACAGCTGCTGGTTCTCAAGGATTATTTGTCAAAGATCATGCCTATTAAACAGTTAATATTTATTCATAATCTTCATAATAAATTCACAATAATTAGAAATCAGTTACCAATGTCTAAAAACATTCATTATTGTAACAGTTAACTATTTGTGTTTTTGTTTTTTTAAATGTTTAAAGAATATTATTATAGAATACTCGAATATATATGTTTTATTCAAAATAAATAATTTTGTTTTGATAAATTAAACATTTTTTTTTTAATTTAAATTGATCAATTAATTTCAATATCTAATGTTATTATTTTACATTGAAAAAATTAAATAGCATTATTCTGAAAATGTTAATATTATAGTTAATCATTTTACATATATAAATTAGTAATTGACTCAGTTATGTACTGTCATATATATATATATTTATATATATGTGTTATAAGATGTAATTTATCATACAGCTACATTTAGTAACTAATAAGAATTTTACCTAGACAAAAAAGTATTATAGAGGAATCTGTAGTGCAATTTATTAAAAATAATTATATGTAATTTGTGTTGCATATTGTTTGTTTTGTGTGATGATTATTAAACGTATCTTAAACTGTTATACAAGTGTAAGTTGTAGGATTGCTTTTGATTGCTTATAGTCTGAATTGTAATAGTTTTCCAAACTTGGAATCATTAATATACCTTATAACTCGCATTTTCTTTCTGTATTAAATGCTGATGTATTTCAATAGATTGTTTAAATTATTAAAACTAGTTTTTTTATAAACAATTTGGGTGAACAATTTAATAAAAAGTTCAATACAACATTTCACTCTTTAAATTTTTCAGAGAAACAAAAAACACCCAACATGGCATAATGTTACATTTTCAAAAACCATATTTCATTAAAAATTATTTAACCATAGTAAATAATTTGATTTTGTGAAAGTATTTCATAGAATAAAAAATATTTTATTATATAGAAAATTAAAATTGAGTAAAATACATTTAAGTATGCCAAAAATATATTTTAATCTTTGAAGAGTATTCTAATACTTGGGATTAATTGTAACTGAAATATATAACGAATATTTATAAAAAAAAATGTATTTAATGAAAATGGATAAATAAAAAGTTTGTCATAAAAAAAAGCCAGCCTTTATTAATAATTAGTATTTTTAGAGTTTTTTTTTCTAATTATTCGTTTGTTATATTATATATAATTCTAAAATAATGTAATTTTCCTCTAATAACTATTTCTATTTTAAAAAAAGATTTAAGTAACTTGAACAGGATTTGGAGTTGGCTCTGAAATAAATTCTTGGCTTCAAATTATCTTTGGAATAGGTAAATTTCATGAATTGATCGGTTGAGTTTTGGAATTTTGGAGTGAGTGTAGTGAATATTACCAAATGTTGATAATGGGCATGATATGCATTTTTTTTATCTAACCATAAAAATTCTCTTGACCCATTTTGATGATTAATACGTCAAAAGAACCTGAATTTAATCTAGTTAAAAATATTACTTTCAAAAATTGTAAGAACCCCAAAATGTTAGCTATAATGCTTAAAGGATGAAAGCTGATTTAACGGACCCGGACACTTCGCCGCTAGACTCTTAATGTATAAATTTATTATTAATTCCTTTTCGAAATATTATAATTAAATAGGGGCGTTTACGCTAAGTCAAGTTTGTAGTTATTTCCATTTATTCTGACTCTTCTCGGTATTCACCGTAAATACAGACTATTTGATATGAACATATGTAAATGTGAGCTTAAAAAAAATTATATGTAAACATGAAGATTAGAATTGTTATTGTATTAAAATAGCTAACCAAATGAATACAATATTTTTGAATATTTACTATACCTTATTCATTAAAAAAATAAAAATTTGCAAAAACTGGGTTTGCTAATTTATGATATGGTGCTAAGTATTATATTAATAATTATATCACATTATTATTATGTGTACATATAAATAAGAACATACTATATTTCAGTATTATTATTTGTTAAAATAAAAGAATAACAATGAATATTATAATTATGATAACATTGAATTATAATAATTGAATCAAGTACAAATTAAATTTAAATAATTTGACAGAATATAAATAATTAATTTTTTTATCATTATACTGGATTTTAAGGACTTGTGCAATGAATGATTAGGCTAAAATAATTATAATTTGTTCGAAAAGGAGTTAATAATAAATTTTTATATTTGGAATCTGGCGGCGAAATGTCCTAGACCCTCGAATCTATACGGAAGCTAAACGTGACGTCATAGATTGGCAGTGTCACGTCAAAACAATGTATTTACGTGATGTTGATGTTACGTAATGTGACCGGCGTATGTGAACAAACGATATAAATACATGATTAGATGTTTTGACGTGACGCTGCCAATCTATAACGTGACGTTGACGTTCCGTATAGTGAGATTCGACCTTAAAACAGCCATACCCACACAACGAAATCACAACTGATAAAATACCGGAGTATAATAACTATAAAATCCGGTCGTAAAAATTGTGAAAAATGTATAGTATACCAATTAGGAGGGGATTAAAATTTGAATTTTGATATTGTGCTCGTTTCATCCCCAAATTTATTCAAAAATAAAAAAAAAAAGATTTCAGAAAAAAAGTATATTAAGTTGAGAATTTTACCCAACAAATTTCGCTCTATATCCTATTTTCGTAAGCCTCTCGAAATATAAGCCACGTGCAAGAATTTTCATAGTTTTCTATTTTTTTATATTTTTCAAAAATATATGGTTTAAATTATAATAATTATTAGGGCACAATGAATAGTTATAATAATTAAAGTAATCTCCTACAAAAAAGTTAAAGAAATCATTAAAAAAATCATCCAGAACAAATTTTTCTTGTAAAAATAAAAAATTTATAAACGTTTTTCATTTTTCCGAAAAATGCCTTATTTTAGACATGGTTATATTTGAAAAAATGTTAATTTTGTAATTAAAACTTTATAACTTAAAGGTTTTTGTAACTTTTATATTACTAAAAATACATATTTTTTATCAATTATAGTTTGTCTAATTTTATTTTATTTTTAAATATTTGTGTTACTAATAATTTTATACTACTGTTAATTAAATTTGTATACTTTTTTTTAATATATACTAAAATAAGTTAAGTATATCGTGGATTTAAATTTAATTATCCTTTTATTTATTTTTTTTAGAGAAAGATAGTTAAATTAAAATTTTATAAGACTGTAAAATTATTTACATATTATAAAAGTAATTACAAATTTTTGAATTTACAAATAATTTAATCAATTTTGACTTAAGTTGATTTGTTGTCAGGAAAATCATTTTTGAGTAGTTCAAGGTTTTGTAGTACATATTTTTGATCTTATTTGTGGTTGGTGTAGATTCAATTAAATTACGTAATTTATGCAACTTCCCTCAGTAATATCACCTACGATAAGTTTTTAATATTTTCAACCCCTTCCAAAAAGTTTATATTAATTTTTCAAGTATCGTACTTAAAAAAATCGATTTTTAATTTTCAAAAATTTTGTTTAACTTTTTAGAACTTCTAGAACATAAAATAAGCTTTAACATATATTTAAAAGACGCAGTATTCCCGGAACATTTTCAAAAGTTAAGTTGAAAAAGTTCTCAAAGTTTTCAAAAAGTCAAAAAAACTTTTCTTGATTTTGAATAGGCAAAATAATCAAAATAAGTATAAATTTATATTTAATGGAAATTAGATTCATGTAAATTTTATATTTGTTGATGGATTCATTAATATGAAAAACCCTTATAATGTATTTTAAAATAAACAAAAAAATAAAATAAAATTTGAACACAAAAATAGCATGTTTTTTAATTACAGTAGCCATTTGCATAAAGAAGATAGGACGTCAGAAAAAATGTTATCATATAGTAAATAATGTAAGCTTTAATTTAACATATGTTACAGACACAAAAAAATAAAAAATAAACTCATCATGGTAAAATTAATACCTTATCAGCTAATAATATGTATTATTAAAAGTAAAATTTATAAATTACCGGATTTTTTTTATATGATCACTAGAATCCACCAAAAAATAGCTTAACCCACTTTTTAGCTTAGTAACAACCCAGGGGACCGAGTTTTAATCATTAAATTTTTGGCCCCACATGTAAAAAATAGTTTCGGCGCCCCTGCTAAAAATAATAAAATAAATCAGACTAGAATTAGAATAAAATCAATTTATAAGAACAATAATATACATTTTTGGTATTATTGGGATCGGTAACAGCCAAGGTAAACAAACGTGTTTCATAATCAACAACAAGACAGCAAACGGTTGATGTTGAACAGCATGGCGTTCTATGGCATATAATGAGATGCTGAAAGGGTAACGCTCTAAAGGGTAACGCTTAAAGGTGTAGGGCAGACGCATTCCCTGTTGGTATCAAAATTTTCGAATTTATTTATAAAGCAATTATTGGTGATAAAATGTTATTTATTTCAGTAGCATTTTCTTATGCTATTGTTGGTTAGAAGTAAAAGTCAAAAACTACTGATATTTGTTAAAAAATGATGAAACTGCCAATTTTTATAGCTATTAGCTTTAATGCGTAGCTAAGAAGCTATTAGTTATACTCTACTCTTATTAATTATTTTTAGCTTCAATGCAATGTTTTACTATGATGTGTTTTTTTTTTTTTTTTTTGTGTCTGTTACCACTTTTTCCCAGCTATCACCGAACGGATTTCTTTCAATGATACGTCAAAAGATCACAAATCGTATCTAGTCGAAGACATTACCCTTAAAAATTGAAAAAATTTCCCTTGTTCCCCGTAAATGGGGGAAACCTCCAAAAAAATTACAAATTTAAAAATTGCTAATTTTCGAAATTTTTTCAATTTTTTTTACTAAAAACTGCCACATATGAATATAATTTTTTTTTATAGATGCTTGATGTCTTTACCTATCATTTGGTATATTTTTTTTGTAAATTTGACCCTTTATCTGCCCACAGAGAGGGATTTAAAATGACAACTTTTTCACAAAAAATTTACTTTTTCAACTTAACTTTTGAAAATGTTCCGGAAGGTCTGACACTTTTATATATATCTTAAATTAAAGTTAATGTAATGTACTTTAATTTGAAAAAAAAAATTTGACCTTTGGACTTGTCTTCACGGCGAAAATGGTTACCAAATGCTATTTTCGTGTGAAAATTCTCGATTTTATTTTTTATATTTTTAACTTTATAATGCTATAACTT